CTATAAAAATTGGAGAGACCTATTCCAAAGCATCAGTTTAAGTGAAAAGTTTAAGAACTTTCTCTTTCTAAGCATCCTCAGCACAATAGGTACATTCCACCTTTGGTTGCACTGGTTCAACCCTTGCATTAATTTTAATCTTAAATTTAAATGTATGACAGTAGCATGGGCATTTATGCAAAAGTTAGGAAATACAATTCAGGTTTTTATGTGGCTCTCTAATATACTGTCTAGGACTGGTTATGTGCTATCACGATCTATCATCTAAAGAGCTTTTTGATGGCTTCATCCTAGTATGGAGCTCTCTCTTTAGGCTTTCCCTCCTGTATTGCGATCTTTGTATATCAAATGTGCTGTGAGATAGCCTACAATATTGATGACAGATTATTTTTTCCTGGAAGATGCAAAGAAGTAGTGGCAACAAATAATACAATATATGAATCTGAAGAAATAACGGTGTATGGTGAACCTGAGTCTGCCAGCATCATTATCTCATTACAACTTGCACAAGGCAATGATGCGTGGAATGGCTGAGTGTGATACTGAGGGATTGTGGGTGAAATTGTTCCACACATTTTGCTTCAGCCCCGTCAGTAAGGCTTTCTGGCACCCTGTCAAATGTAGACCTACAGACTCTTGCAAACCATGGCATTTACTTCATGTCTTGCATATTGCTGTGTAGGAGGGCAGTCTGTTCGCTGCTGGTAGCCTGTAAGTTTGTGGCTGCAAAGTTATTTATTTTCTACCCAGCTTTCTACCATGAAATAGCGCACAAGGCACCTGGGGGTTATTGCCTTTATCAGAGTCTAAGACTAGAAAAGATTACCATACACCAGTCAGATCAGTAATTCATCTTAGTATTCATACCAGTGTCAGAAATTATGAAACTTAAGCACAGCTCTAAGGATGCACATATCTACAGAAAAGAAAAAGAGAAAGCTGTGGAGCCGTCTTTTGGGCTGGGTGGTACACAGTTCAGCAAGTCCTGAGATGCTTCTTTTCCCACAGAACGGTAGCATAGCCTGTATATGCACTCGGGGTTTTTTTCCCCAGGTGGAAATATACTTTTCAGTGGTGAGTGAATACCTTTTAGCAAGCCTGGTAATAAACTAAACTCTTCTATTCCCAAACAAATGGATTTTTCTTCAGAATCTATGTGAATACCTTGATAATAGGCTACTTTGTCTCAGGGTTTTTTGACATAGCTGACAATGGTGAGTAAAATCTATTAGCATAGTGTGTTCATCTCTAGTCCTGCCTTCCTCAATAACTGTTTTCAACCTTTCGTACTAGTGTGCAGACGCCAGCTCTGTTGCACTGCCAAAGTAACCCAGACTGAGTCACAATGGCAGTGAGAAACAAATGAGATTGTGTCACTGTGTAAGCACTATGTCCCTTCCAGAGATATATTTGCTCACCGAGTGAATGACAAGACTCATTTCTGTGAAGTTCCTTCTTCATGTGATTGTGATGATTAAAATGTCCAACAGATTTTCAGGGTCAGCTTTGACCTTTTTCAGTGGACTGCCCTCTTTCCTGGGAGAATAGATGCTAGGAAGGCAATGTCTATTTCACATTTGGGAGCTGGACTACATCAGCATGGAAAGCATCTTCCTTCTCCCAGTGCAGTAATTTTCAACATTTTTGTAAATCTGAAATCTCCCTGCAGTCACTTCCAGTCCAATTCTGAAATATTGTAATGATTTCCTCAAAACAAATTTGCTTTCCAGTTTGGACATATTTAAATATGCAGAAGATTATACAATATGTAAGAGATTATTACCCAAACATTGATAATGGATTCTGATTTCCTCTTCTTGACTATTTCTTCTATTTATTTATTGCAAACCACTCTGGGAGCCTCTTGATTATAAATAAAGAAAAATTAGCCTACCACTTTCAGTATAAATATACACAAATGTTTATATTAGCATCTATTACATAGAAATTATACATCATTTATGTAGAATTTATACATTTATATCACTCTTGAGCCATTCAGCAAATTTGGCTGGTTCAGAATGTGGGCTCAGCTCATGATAGGGAACATTTTTGGGGTACAGTTGAGGTCCTACATGATTTGTGACCAGTTCATCTGGAAGACAACATTCTGACATAAGAGACTCCCCAGATCTTAAGATCCTTGGGAAAAGTCCTTCTCCATGTCCTGCCAAAGTCAGGGGCACATTCAGCCTTCTTGACAGCTGCTTGCACTCTCTGGAACGCCCTGCCATGGGAACCCAGGGCAGCTTCATTATTCCATTGCTATTGCTTAATTAATTTCTGTATCACCCAAGAGCTGATGCTTTCACTCTGTTGTCCTGTCAGGGTGCAATGACAGTTCTATTCAGATAGGTTTTAGCTTTTAAACTGGTGTGTTTGCTGGCGTAGGTTTTAACTGGCAAACACAATGTAATCCGGTTTATTCCCATGTTTTAATTATGCTTTTTCTTTATTTGTGTTTCATGTTTTACTTAGAATTCTGTATTTTAACCGCATTTAATTTATTGTTAGCCACTGTGAACATTTTTAGGAGAAAGGCAAGGATTGACATATAAATAAAATAAATAGGGCAATACAAGGGAGCAGCATACATCTCTCAGTAATGTATAGCTCCTGTTTTAGTCCTGTATTTTTTTAAAGAGCAGATCATAGTCTGCAGTCCTTCAAATGTTTTAGCTGATGATCCCCATCGGCCCTCACCATGGGCTATGATGGGATGGCTTGGGGTGATAGGAGTTACCACTGAATTATCTGGGAGGCCACAGGTTGCTGCTGTCCCTGGGCATGGGGGGTGGGGGGGGGAGTCAAACATTGCATGACTAAAAGGCCCCCTGTGTGAGAGGTTGTTCCCATGCCCTGAGACTGCTCTCCCCCACCCTCCAATATACCTTCCCAGAAGGTCGAGGGACTCTCCTGAAAAGCATGCTCTGTGATGCAGTGTGAGGAAGGGGTCACTAACAATTGCGTGGTGGCAATTCATGAAAATGGAGATTGCATAAGGCTACCTGCAGGCTCCCACTACAAATCTGCTGGGAAGACCTCCTCCCACCATACTTCTTTCTAACTGCACAGGAACACTTGGGGGATTTTAAGATGCAAAGGCAGCTTCAGGGTGGGGAAGGAGGAAGATTTGTTGAGGAAGTCTGTGTATTAAATTCATCAAGATCTTGGTCATATTTTAAGTCCAGCCCTTTCCTTACATCGAGTATAATAATACTACAATTTAGCACCACATTTTAAAAGGTTAGGAGTTAGGAAAAAGCACAAACATATTTTTTCTGTTTGGTTGCTCAACTTGTCAACTCTGTTTCTGAGTCTAATTGATTACAGGCCTACTTAGGAACTGTAAATATTTTGCGTGGTTAGAAAGCAAAGAGCCAAAGACACCAGATGGGAGTGTACAGGATTGTGCCCTACTTGGGCTTAAACAAGCAAAGGGTTTCATCCTTACTGTTCAAACAAGAAAGCCATTTTTTTTTTCATTTGTTTTAGGGTGTTTTGGAAGCAGGGAATATTTATTGGCCAGGTAAAATAAAGTGTCAGTTCTCAATCTGATCTTTGCTTTGCAGTTGTGATTTTGTTAGTACAACTTTTTTTCTTCACCCAGTGATCCATCTTAATTATCCTCTTCAATCAGATATAAGTTCCTGTATTTCTTCTGGTGCTGAAGTCCTGTCTTTCACATGTAATACACAGAACACACCTTTGATGCGGAAGATAAGACTAAACAAAAACCAAGTCCTTCATTTGAAAAGCAGATGCAATGGAAAACATGCATATGTTGCTACTTTCATTTATTTTGCTAAAATTATTTTTAGGATGCCTATAAAGATGGAACTTTCTCAAAGTGGCGTACAAGATAAAACCTTGCAAAACAAATATAATAAAATTGGATAAATGCATATTTGGTAAGAGTTATATAAAATAGGACATACCTGTAAAAGCAACAGCCCAACTACTACAGAAAGACCTTCAAAAACAGGGGACTGCAAAAAAGGGCCTAGAAATTCTCCAACAGCAGTTGAGTCGGTCACTCAGAAACCGCAGTGACTGCTTTCTTTTCCCCTGTGTATGGCATATATGCATCTCTCTGTCTACATATATTCCCTCTGTATCTTTTAATGTCTGAAAGATACTTTGAAATGGGAAAGCTCAGAAAGAAGAATAAAATATGAAGGCAATGTTAATTTCCCTGGTTTTGCAACTAGGTTATAAATTACAATTATCCAAAATAACTATAATTCCAAGGAATGTTTCTATTTTAAGGCACTGTGCAGTTTGTGTCACAGAGTTAGTATGTGACTGAGGAACTCAGTTTAGAACCAGTAAGCAGATGTTCTTGTGTAATCGGATAGATCCTTTTGGTTTGTTTGTTTCTTCTTTACATTTTTAATATGTAATGAAAGATATAGGGCTAGGTTTGATGAGTCCAAGGCCTCTGACAAGCTCCAATCCACTTTGCCTCAGATTAATCCCTGACCTGAATGAGGAACAAACCGTTCTGCAATAAAATTGTTTCATTGTGTACTATACCTTGCTCCCTTTCGCTGTGTGTAGTACTGGATAAAATCAGCTTTGTGCTTTCAGTTTGTATAAAATATACACTAGGACAAGATTTTAAAAATAAATAAATGCAGCATTCTCAGGAGAACTCTGGGATACAAATGATGACAGAAAAAACCCCACTAAAAGAGCGACAGTCTTAGGGAATAAAGCATGGTCAACTCATAGGGCACAAGTCAAATGGTGTCACTCCCTTCTGCTGCTCAGGCATTGGGTATATGGGATATATGGATGGTAACACTGGATTCTCCAAATGGATAAAACTTGCAGTTACAGGCAGAATACAAAAAGACTTTGATTCTGTATGCATTGAAGTCTAGTCAGTCTCAAAAGTGTAATTTCAAAGCAGAATACTATTGGATCTTCTGAAATAATTGTGTTTTGGAACTGCCTTTTCATTTAGCTGCCTTTTTGACTTTCCACCATTTTTACAGGTCACAATGACTACATGTGCCCTGCTACAAACCAATGTACCATTGACAAGAACAGACGGAAGAGCTGCCAGGCTTGCAGGCTCCGAAAATGCTATGAAGTTGGAATGATGAAAGGTGGTATGTACCCAAACATGCATTGTGATTTTAGCAGATAGTAGATGCCTGCAGGAATCCTATGCAGAGCAGAAAGGATGACAGAGTCTATCTTTGTCTTCACATCCTCTTGCCCTACATTTTCCTGTAGGCTGTCTTTTCCTCCTATTTAGCTTGGAGCTTCTTGGAGGGGGAGAGAGGGAGGCTCCAGTGACTGCAGGTTCACTTGAGTCCTGGTCCCCTCTGTCCCCAGCCCGATCCTCTCCCTATTTCCCTCTGAGGTTGCTTTCCCAACCTCAGAAGGCTGGCTGCTTAGTTCTTTTCATGCTGACTGTGAGGCAGTGGGGTGGGGATAGTAGGGCAGGGCTGTGATCCAAATCCCAAGCATAGCTTTCTATCTCAGAATCAAGTAGAGCACTTCCTGTGCCACCTAAAGGCCAATTGCTGGTCCCCTACATTAACTTTAGAAACTGCTGGTCTTGCCAGACTCCAAAGTGAAGCTGCTCTGGAGAAACATCTTGTAGAACCTAAATATTTCATCAGGATATATTCTGGATCTGCCTTCAACTGCGACAACCTTTTAAGATTCGGAGAGTAGCCCTTTATTTGCATAGTTGGGCTAATCTAAATTCATTAGCTGTTACTTCATTATAACTTAATTCATTTGAATCTTTGAGATTTTACTAATGTTAATCATTTTATTCTCCACTATTCTTGAAAGTTTGGACATATTCTTGATCTTGTCTCTAATAGTCCATCACCGTATAATAAGAATGTATTAGATCCCAAATAAGACAGGTTAGTATAAAAGGATTTCTCCAAAGAAAAGGTGAATTAATTTTCAATGCATCATCTGGAAGGATTCCAAGAAGTCTAATTTGCCTTGCTGTTATCGTGTAAGGGCAACATTATATGCAACTAAAATGGTGAATGAGGAAGAATAGTACTTAAACTGTAGCGATCTATTTGTACTGCTGCTGAAATGACTCTCTAGAATATTTGCTAAACACACTGTTCTGTACTAATACAAAATTGTACAAGTAGTGGGCACCGATACAGCTATTAGTACCTGGGTATTTAAAGAACCAGGTAATTGAAAGGACGCAGCCAAAATACTTTTCATTTAGAAGCTTGTTCATCCTTGATAAATACAACCAGACTGTACCTGTTGTTTAAACATTCCTTGCAATAGTGCCTAAAACTCATTACTATGCCAGAAGTGCAACCTGTTCTTACTTTGATAAACAGTTGATTGTTCACACACACGCACTTGTACCAACTGTGCTGAATAATAAACTACACTTGCCCTTCTTGCAGTTAATCGTTGCACTTCCCATCCTGCTACATCTAAGCTCCCAGACAACTTAATTTGTAATGGCATTTCCAGTTATAGATGGAGCTTGTGCTTCTAATGGGTGTGCATCTGCTTTGGCGAAAGATTGAGAACCAAGCCAAAGCTTTGAAGATTTTCAGATCGGTTCCAAAGCGCTTGAAATAGTCCAAAACAAAGTGGGTTGCTTTCAGAGCTTTGGACCAGTGTTGGAGATTTGGATGTATGGAGACATTTTTATCCCTGTTTTTTATTAGACCACTGATAAATTTCTCAACTTTTAAAGTACTAGATTGGCAGATGTTGTTATACTACTATTTCCATCCTTGCTATTGGCCATGTTGGCTGTAAGTGCTGATTGTTGCAAGTCCAACAACCTCTGGGGACTCAAATTTGGGGTCCACTGTTTTAAAGGATCCTAACACAAAACTCCAAATCCTGCTTGTCTGACATTTGTGTTCTTCATCCAAAATGGATCACTATGCCTGAACATTTCATCCAATTCTGTTAAAAATTATGGAAATTACAGCTGCGTGTTGATTTTCTTCCATAGACAATGGGGAGACATGTCAAGGTTTGAAACTCGGGAGCAAAGCTCTGCCTCAGACTGAAGCAGAGCAGGCTGTGTGCACATTTCAGTGAAATCTAGCCTTGTTCACCTGCTGTGATCTTCCAGAGACATGTGGGAAGGTCACATTGCCCCGTATGCCCTGGGAGACAATATGAGGAAAGCCATGTGGCCATGGTGGCTTCTCTGCCCTGTACCTCATGCAACAGGAGTGCTTCCCTGCATCCTGGCCATCTGAGGGGTGTGGGAAATGGCTCTACATGCACAGCACCCTCCTTGTGAGGGAGGGATTGGCCGAATTATGGCTCCCTCCCCATCCTCAGAAAATGGAAGAGCTCTACCAGTGTAATAGGGATAGCGCACTTGGTTGCACTTGTTGGTGGCAAGAGTCAGCATTAGTCTGCGTGGTGCACAGCCCTGCTTGCATTTTCTTTGAATGTGTGGGATGAATTATCTGAACCCTTCTAATGTCTCTTTTATACAGAGACCATCACAGTAAGAATGTCCTGATCTGGCAGGAAAGAACAAAATTAGAGCAAAAATGCAAATAATTTAAGCAATGATAACGCCCAACAAAGCACTGGAAAAAGGATGAAACACTGAGTCAGGAAGAAAGCTTTAGCCTCCTGTATGCAAAGCTGTTTATTAACGTATCATAGTGAACCAACAAGAGGATTAAAAATAGGTTGCGAACAGATTACAGATGCACAGTGGTGTATCCTGGGAAAGAATCTACTTAAGTCTGTTAAGCAATTAGAGAAACACATTTTAAATGAATACACAGAGGGCAGCTGACACCCGTGAAGCTGAATTATGTTAACACAAATCTTTCTTCACATTGCTTTAGCGGTTATTAGGCCAAAGATATTTTATTCCATATGTGGGGGGCTTGTGAAAATGTGCAAGCATTTGGGACAGCCATGTTCTGTTATATTGCTCAAATAATAAAATAGACAGTTCATGGCATCCCATCATTAGCTCTGCTTTTTAACAGCACACGAAAGATGTATGGCAGGTCGTCTTTCCCCACCGTGACCACCACCCATGGGAAACTGCTTCTTCACTGGGCAGTCCTACCTATGGGCTTCCTTGTGCAAGGCAAAAGTTTATATTTCTGGCTCCGAAGAACTCTGTGCGTATGATTCCACAAGGTGTCCCTTTCCCACTACCCAAGCTATCCAAATACTTTCAAATATCCTAGCAGCATAGTGTAAGAGCCTTAGGCATGCTGCAGCACTTGACAATAGAGACAAGTTGAGCAAACAAGTAATTTTCTAAAGGACGCTTTATTCTTAAAAGAATACCAATATCCACACTGGGGTTTTCAAAATACTGTTCAGTAACAATTATTTAGGCCTCAACATTAATAATAGACAAGATCTCCTCTTCAAAAGAACACACTGTTCAAGGTTTGCATTAATCTTTAGGTGGATTGTCTAGCCAAAATATCCCTCCCCCACCCCCAAATTAATGACTTGATGTTTTGAGAATATTATATGCGAAGTAAAGTGCTGAATCCGTGTTGCTTTCCGCAGTACACACTGCTGCAAACCATCCTCCAGGTTTTGCTCAATATGCAGCCATTAACTATAATACATGTAATACTGGATAAATTCTACAGTGGCTATTTTGCCATGGTGCAACAAAGTTTGCATTTCGCTCAGTGAACTTTCCCTGAAATCTGTATTTCTGACGGGGCCCAATGAACTAGAGACGCTTCACCATATTTTGGGAAGCCTCAGTTCAAAGCGTGCTGAATGCACAGTTGCGATGAAAACTTGCCAAACACTTTTGCATTACATGATAGATCATTTCAAGCACTTTCTATAGATCACTTCCATGTGAGCCCACTGGTCTGGTGACTGGAAAAATTGGAACAGATATGGAAACCCCCCCCCCAACTTTTGGCAATGTATTTGTGTATGCAATCAATAGGGCGATGAGTGAGTTGAGATGTTCAGAAGTACACACCAGCATATCAAGAGCCGCTGCATTATCCATAGTTTCTTAGGGGAAAAAATGGGATTATGTCCACAGATATGTTGCTCTAATTTTGCAGATGTCGTTTCATCATGTGCAAGTTTTCTTTATGCTATATCTAGCAAAAGCAGCAACAGAAAATATACGTACTAGAAGGCAAGCAAAAATCCACAACACTGTAATAGCAGCTGCAATCAGCATACTCATTTATATTACGTGAAGGTGGCTTGGCTATATAGTTAATTACCAGGCTCCATATAGTGTGATCCTATATATCATAGTATCATAGGACTGTAGAGTTGGAAGGGGCCGACAAGGCCACCAAGGACAACTTGCTGCTCAATGCAAGACTTCAGGTTAAAGTACGCGTGGCAGATGGCTGTTCACCTGCCTCTTGAATGCCCCCAGTGTGGGAGAGCCCGCAGCCTTCCGAGGTCATGGGTTCTGCTGCCAAACTACTCTAACAGTCAGGAAGTTTCCCCCAGTGTTGAGCCGGAAGCTGGCTTCCTGTAACTTGATCGCTTTATTCCATGCCCTGCAATCCACCATGATTGAGAAGGAATCTTGGCCCTCCTCTGTGTGTCAACCTTTTGAGAGTTTGAAAAATGCTTTATTTCTATTTCTGTGCTCTATTTAGAAATCATCCCAGTTAAAATCAATGAGCCTTGCTCCCAGGGAAATGAATATAGCCTCTGTCTGCACTCCTGTGCCCGTGCTGCAGCTAGGCTGTTGGTATCTGGAGGGCATTAGGATGTCAAAGGCTGCCACAGACTCTTATCCGGCAGTAAGTCTCATTAAACTCAATGGGATTTACACTTGAGTAGACATGCTGAGGAGTGCACTGTAAAGCTATTCCTTTTTTTCCTTGTTTCCTTTTTTATTTGGTCTATGTTAATTTTTGCACTATTCTTCCTATTTTAAGCTAGCTGTAATAAACCAATGTAGTATTAGTTCACACAACATGGCTGGTGATAGATTTTTAATGTAATTAAGTAGACACAATATAATCATGTCTACTTAATCATATTGAGCAATATAAAAGCTAAACTAATAATGTAATCATTCTACAAATTACATTGTGCAATCCTACAAATTGTACATTGTCAGTATAGGTGTATAATCTTGTTTTTGGAAGCAGAAGTGCCA